ACCATATACCCTTTGTCTTTTGCTTTTGTTTAATTTAAAAAGTGTTCATATTCAACAGGAGAAGCATGCTTGATTCACAAGATCAGAGGTTCACCAACTTTCTCAATTTGTAGTGCCCTCAGTGCCTTACTAATTTCTTCACAGTGCTTCTAGTTCAAAAGAATTACCCATCAATTCCCTTTAGTAAGTAGTCAGGCTCAAACCACTCAACAAGCATGAATGTCCTAAAAATTTAGTGGGCATTTCTTAAAATCATACAACATTTGTAAGAAAAGAAACATTCTGTTTATTTTATTCTCCAATACTCACAATTTCTAATGAGGTGTCCATGATGGTTAGGCTCTGCAAAACTTGTCAAGTCTTAACATCAGACTGGACACCACTACTGTTTCCTGTTCCACAGCGATTTTCACATGGTTCTCACTTTTTAACACAGCCTCTGAAAACCGAGCTTCACAAAGATAGACTATCACCCAGAAAAGTACACTGTGATCTAATGTCAAAAATAAGTTAAAACTACCTCAAGTTAGTAGTTTGCAGGGTCTAACAAATGTTACTGTGTTTTCCTCAAACAGTTAAAACATCACACAGTTCCCATGTGAATTCACTGAAGCATCCTGGGTGCCTTGGTGCAGTTTGGAAGTTGAGGTACTAGAATTAACGTTTCTTGATGATGTCATGAAAAATACCATGTACGTATCCATATTTTCTGTGCCTAGCATGGGGACTAATGTACGCAATAGACATTGTTTAAAGAATGTGCTTTTGGTTAATACTTTTCTAGTTTAGATTATCTTAATTCATAGTAGTACAATTTGATATCATATATCCAATGTATATATAGTCCCTGCAAATGCAGAATGATATATTTTCTTACATACACTCAAAGAGTTTAGGTGGAGGAAATTGGTGGAGTCATCTCTATTTGGAACATCTCAGATATTTCTCTGTGAAAAAAAAGATTTTATCTCAAAGATTCCTAGCTTTTCTCTAAACTTAGAAAAATGCTTTAAAAGTTTCATCACCTGTTTGCTCCCTGATATGGTTTGGCTCTGTGTTCCCACCCAAATCTCATGTCAAATTGTAATCCCAGTATGTCAGAGGAGGGGCCTGGTGGGAGGTGACTGGAACATGTGGGCGGATTTCTCCCTTGCTGTTCTTGTCATAGTAAGTGATTCTCATGAGATCCGATGGTTTAGAAGTGTGGCACTTTCCCGTTTACTCTCTCTCTCTCTCTCTCTCTCCCCCTCTTGCTCCACCATGGCAAAATATGCCTTGCTTCCCCTTTGCCTTCTGCCATAATTGTAAACTTCCTGAGGCCTCCTTAGCCAGGCAGAACTGTGAGTCAATTTAACTTCTTTTCTTCATAAATTTCCCAGTCTCAGGTAGTTCTTTATAGCAGTGTGATAATGGACTAATACACTCCCTAAGACATTACAAACATACACAGAAGTAAGTGTATGAACCAAAAATTGCTTGGACCACTTGATTTTATCCAGAGGTGGATGGAGGTCCGTATGTCCAGAAACAGAGGACTTTTTCCCTGCCCTTCACTTTCCTTTGAACACAGAGGCTTTGGCCTGTGGCTCCTACATGGATACCGTATAGCTGAGTGAATCTGAAGAATCATATACCACACCATGCAGTCCTGGTTAAAAATGAATACTCAGTGGTGTACATACGCCCAATGATACAGACACACAATGGATACAGTCCTCGTCCAGCTACAATATGAATGAATCTTGAAGGCATGATGCTAAGTGAAAGAAGCCAACACAAAAGGCCACATGCATGCTCCTATTGGTCTGATGTGTCTAGAACAGGCAAATTCATAGAGACAGAAAGCAGAATAGAAGTTATCAGGGGCTGAGGGCAAGTGGATAGGGAGTTATTGTTTAATGGGAGTAAAATTTCTGTTAGATATAATAATAATGTTCTGGAAATGGATAACGGTAAAGATTGCACAACTTTGTAAATGTACTTACTGCCACTGCATTCTACACTTAAAATGCTTAAAATAGGAAACGGCATGTTACATGTATTTTGCCATTTTACCATACACAGACACAAAATTTCCCAGTCTGGAGAATGAGCTTTACTTTAAAAGATGTCACCAATAAGTAAAGTTTACAAAGGCAAGACCAACACAGCAAGCATATTTTCTAAAGCAATGAAATGCCCAATTAGAGCAGGGATTGACAAACCTTCTGTAAAAGGATCAGAAAGTGAATATTTTAGGCTTTACAGACTGCAGGGTCTCTCTTGCAAGTTTTCAGGTCTGTCCTTGAGTCTACAAAGTCACTGTAGAAAACGTGTAAATGAAGAAGCATGCCTGATTTTTCAGTAAATCTTTATTCATGGACACTGAATTTGAATTTCTTATCATTTTCACAAATTGTTCTGTTTTTGACTTTTCTTCTAATCACTTTAAAACGTCAAAACTATTCTTAGCTCATGGATCTTATAAAGACGGACAGACTTGGCCGCTAGGCCATGGTTTGCTGATCCCTGAGCTAGAATCCCAAAGCAAGGCTGAGACAATACTGTACTGATAACTGTGGAATCTCTTCCAATATTGGAGATGGTTTTCCATGACGAGTGGGAAATGTCCTCCTTGGAAAACCTGTTATCCAGTGGCTCAGGCAGCATGAGGCATTCTGCAGTTGAGACAAACCTGAAGTTGGTGCTCATTTTCCCTCTTGAAACTTGGCCCCCCCTCTCGCATCAGGCCCTGTAGGGCTAGCAGGATGCTTCATTGATCCAGCCAGGGAGAAAATCCATTCGATTCACTACAGGATGCTAAGAATGCCTTTTAACATCTCTTATAGGATTATTTTTTACTGCAACAGACACTTCAAATAAAGCAAAAAGCATAAGCAAGGAAAGAAAAAAGAAAGAAAGAAAAGAACAACGATTGTGGTAAAATTTATGGAAAGCATATTCTCAGGAAGGGAAATTTCCATTACTGCTCAAATAAAACACTAGGCATAATTTTTAAAAAATAGTAATGGCATACTTTCTGGAAGGAAATTTGCACGGAAAGAGGCTAGGGGCTGCCCAGCACTACTAAAATAATATGATTCAGGCATGTACCTCATTGCACATATGACCAGATTCATTGGATGAGTGGAATTTAATTCCACACATTTTACTGAGCATCTACTTTGAGTTAAAGACTTGAGACACAAGGTTCCCTAGTGTACATACCCTGAGTATTAAATGCATATTCTGAGTTTGTTTGTTGGTTTGGAGGGGTGGGTGTTGAATGAGGGTTGGTCGCAAGGTATAAATTCCAGATTTTCTAATTACAAAAATTTAATTTCTATTATAGCTGTTCCTGTCTCCCAGAGCCCTTAAACAAGAGGCATTTCTTCTCACATCAACTGCTGCTATTTGAAACAGAGCCCTTGGTCAGTGACTCTAATGTCCCCCGCTGGGCAATACACAGAGGGATGCAGTAGGGAGCCCCCCCACCCAGCCCCACCACGGTCCACGTGCCTGGAGTGCTCTTTCAAATGGCTCAGAGCTCCCTTTGAGATTCAAGGGCTGCTGACAGCAGGGAGTGTCATAGGTCCCCCGCTGGGCTGCCTCCTTGAACTTGGCCTTCTTCTTCTAATTTTTAACATCTCTTCCTCTTTAATTCTCAGATTCCTCCTCTCATTTTTGTGTTTGAAGTCTCTGTATTAGCTTGCAGTGCCATTTCGTCAACACATTAGGTTACAATTGGCTCTAAATAATTTAAATATTTGGTTGAAACGAAGACGGCCACAGCCTGCATGTCCAGCTGAGCTCAGAAAGACCTTCCTTCATTAGTTCTAACTTTATTTCTCATAAAATAGGAGGCCATTTGAGTAAAATGATAGTGGAAAAATTTTTAAACAGAACCAGCAAATAAACATGGTCTTTATGAGTTGTAACTCAATCCCCAGCTGATGTCATGTTTCATGTTTCAACTGCCAGAAAATGCCTGACATCTATATATCAGGCAGATTTATGGAGACTTCAGGGTAAGAGTTAAGAGGATCCCTTAAATAAGGATAGTGTGTTAGTCTGGCGGTAATTTGGAGCTGCTGTTAGCCATAGATTGAAATGTGCACATTTGGGTAAATTATAGGAATATGCCTTTCTACTTAATCTCTTTTTTATGTTCCAAAAGTCTTTAGATCTGGGAGCTGGATACACAGGGCAGGGTCGGGGCTGGCGGCGGGGTGGGAAGAGAGAGAGAGAGAGAATGAGAGAGCTCTCAAAATATGATTCTCTTTTGCCCCTATTTGGTCATTGATGTTTCTTTGGTAATGCTAGAGAGAAAAGAAAAGATTCTGCATCACAAATCTCAGAATCATAAACCACACATAGACTCTCACCCCACCCAGGCATCTCTTGGTGGTAATACGGTTGTGTTGGCTACAGGAGGTGACCAAGGATGTGGCACCCTGGTAGTTTCCTATTAAGAAATTCTTGTTAAATCTGCTCTATGACAGCAGTTACTCCACAAGGACAGAGCGTTCCCAATATAAACCTCTCTTTATATTGTACAAGTTGGAAGCCAATTATCCCAGAAAAATAGTTTTGAAATAGCCCCAGAAAAAAATGACTCACTTAGTTTTGACATGCATTGACTATAGATTTGCACTCACGCTTCTCATAGGTCTAATTTGGTGAATTAGCAAGAATAAATTACGCTAGCTAATGTAACAATCACCCCCAAATTTCAGTGGCTTAACACAGTAAGGGCCTATTTGTTGCTTATATTATAGTACTACTATTAATATATATATATATATTATATATATATATATATATAATATATTCAGAAGGTAGATTTCCATATGGTGATTCAAATACCCAACTGGTGACTTGGTAATCTGCAAAGACTTGGAATACTCTACTCTACATACTCTACATCTTCCTAGGAAATAAAAAAAAGAGAGAAACCAGGAGAACTACATACGAGGTTTAATGGATAATTGGTTAGACTAGGTCACCTGGCTCCACTTCACCTGCAGAATATGCTGAGGAAAGTGGAGTAGCTGTGATCCCAGGAAGGACAACTGGCTTCCAGCTTCCATTTTTATGTAGAAACTAACGTGCTGCACTGCTGAATGGCTTCTGGGATTTCCTCAAAGACCAAAAGATTTGAAATAACAAAAAAAAAATTGTTTACATTAATATCTCATTGTTGACATGGGTATAATTTTCCTCAGCACTCACACTCGTCCTATGAGGGAGGAAAGTCATGTATTGTTGTCCCTACTTTTACATGGGAGTCTGAGTGGGAGCAGGGACTTGCCTGTGCCCCAGGACATGAAACCAGTGTGACAGAATTTGAATCAGAACCCAGGTATCCCTGTGTTTACTACTGTACGAACAGGATAGGAGTAGAGGAAGTGGGGAACAGGGTGAGGAAGGAAAGGTGAGCTCAAGTGAGTTGGGAACTAGATGAAGTTGGAAGGCTAGTTTTGGTTTTGTCCAGGTCTTGGTGAAGACTTACTTATAGGATGTTTGAGGGGTGAGGCTTGAAATTATTTCAGTTCTCTGCTTTGAGGTTAAATGCCAGCTTGATTCAGAGATCCAAATCCCTGTATGTTTCCATACACCTTTGTTTTTAATTTCTGTTCTTTCTTTCACTTCTTTTCTTTCTTCTTTTCTGTCATTTCTCTCTTTCGGAAGTGAAAGTACCGCTTTTTGTCGTGGTATGTTAATGTAACAATATTAAATGGTTATGATAGCAGACAAAGTACAAGAGGGAAAGCTCTTGCGACCTCCCATAAATGAAAGGTGGCTCTGAATAGATGAAAAACTGTTACAATAGAACTGGCATAACAGGAGGGTTAAGGTTAGAAAACTTGTGTGTGTTGATTTCCACAGCTGGTACAATCGTAATGGAATGTTTTCATTCTTCACGCCACAGAAAGAGCAGAGCTCAAGCCTCTTTGCTCTGGGTATGCAGCTTCAAAGAAGTGTTGCAAGCCTTCATAATCATGATTTCAAAGAGGTTTGTGGAAATGTTTTATTAATTCTTATAAAGCAATCCTTTTTTCTTAATTTTTTCATTAACTTTAGACATTTACTTGCAATTACATTTGTTCAGTGAATACAATGACAGAAATTAATAATTCATAGCTTTTGTCAGGGAAAATTTAAAAAAAGGACCGTTGTTCAATCAAATACAACTTTAAATGCACAATCTTTATTTAAATAGGATTTTAAAAATAAATAATGGGGACCGTTATTGTACTTCCTAGAAATCTCTTCTTTGCCAAATTATATCTATGTTATACCCAGTGACATGAAATCTTGGGTTGTTCAGAGCACATCAGGAAAATAGCAGGTTCAGGTCTAATGATCTAAAAGGGGGGAAACTTGACTCCAGCTCAATATTTGTGGGACTGCCTGGATCTTCTGGGCCCCTGTGGTTGATGGCAGAAAATGAGAGCATGATAAAGTTGGAGGACATCAAAAAGATTATGCCTTCTTGACAACTCCTCCTGTGACTGTTGGGAAAATTAAGGTCCACAGAAAGAGAGTGTATTAGTCCATGCTCGCACTACTATAAGGAACTACATGAGACAGGGTAATTTATGAAGAAAGGTGGTTGACTCACAGTTCTGCAAGCTGCACAGGAAGCATGGCTGGGGCAGCCTCAGGAAACTTACAATCATCACAGAAGGCGAGGAGGAAGCAAGCACAACCTACGTGGCGGAGCAGGAGACAGCAAGTGTAGGGGGAGGTGCTACACACTGTTAAACAACCAGATCTCGTAAGAACTCACTCACTATCATGAGAACAGCAAGACTGAATGATCCGATCACCTCCCACAAAGCCCTTCCTCCAAAATTGAAGATTACTATTCGACAGGAGATTTGAGTGGGGACACAGAGCCAGACTATATCAGACAGACTTCCTTTTGAGTTCACACAGGGAGTTAGTGGCACAAATAGGCCTGGCACATAGGTGTCCTGACCTCTCAGACCAAGCTTTTTCAATCTGTGATCCTATCTTTATAATTCCACCAGGACTTGCCTAACAAACAGTTGCTGGGGATTCAGATTGGAGGTGTGCTGGGCAGACCAAACATTTCATCCCAACTGCCTAGCAATTCATCTGAAATTGTATCATGTTTCCCTTGTTCAAATGCAAATATCTATCACTATCAATCAACTTAGGTGGAAATGAAGGGTAGGAAATAAGGCCCAGGCCTGGGAGAAATAAGATGACATGTGGAGTGGTAACAAGCTCTGCAGTTAGGTCAGAAGACAGTGGATAAGATGAGGACTCTAGGGCTGTCTTCCTCATCCTTCCTGCTCCGACTGATGAGGAGTAAGGACCTGGCTGAAAAATCAGTTCTGCCCCTACTTGTCCCAGTCAAAAACATGACATTGGAATCTGTCTGAAAAAGAAAAGAAGGAAAGAAAAAAGAAAAGTCAAATTTTTAAAAACTTCCAGGGAATTTCCAGCTCATCAGTAAGACTGGAAAGGGCAGTTTAACACAATGGTTAAGAATGTCTCTAGGTTTTACTTTAAAATAAAATTTAAAAAAAGATGAGATTTTATTCTGTTGCCCAGGCTGGAGTGGCATGATTATAGGTCCCTGCAGCCTTGAACTCCTGGGTTCAAGTAATTCTGCCATCTCAGCCTCCTGGGTAACTAGAACCACAGGCACTAAATACAGTCCCGGATAATTTAAAAAAAAATTTTTTTTTTTGTAGAGATGGAGGTCTTACTATGTTACCGAGGCTGATCTTGAATTCCTGGCATCGACCTTCTGCTTTGACCTCCCAAAATGCTGGGATTACAGGCACTTGGTTTAGGTTTGAATTTTGATTCAGTCAGCTATCAGTTCTGTGCTTTGGGAAAATCATTACTAAGATCTCTGAGTCTTTATTTGTAAAATGAGGATGTATCAGTTAGCTATTGTGCTGTAACAAACTGCCCCAAAACTCAGAGCCTTAAAGCAGTAATTATTTATTCTCACACATCTGAGGGTTAGCCATGGAGGCTTTGCTTCTCACTGCAGTCTGTGGGTTAATAGTGGTGACTCTGCTATATGTGTCTCTCGTCATCCACCTGGGACCAGCAGACTAGCTTGTTTTTCTCAAGATGAGAGCAGAGCTGCACAAAGGCAGGAAGAAATGTGGCCTTTGAAGGCCAGGGCTCAGAATTGGCACTGTGTACTTCTAATTATGTATTGTTGGCCAAAAGCTAAAGTAGAGTCAAGAGATACGAAAGGAAGTTCTGCTCAAAATGAGGCTATGGCAGGAATGTGGATGAAGTAAGGAGTCAAGAACTGGGTCTTCAAATGTAATTTACCATGAATAATAATCAAAGTACTTTCTCATTGCATTGCCCTCGCAATTAGCTTTGAAAGTGCCTGTAAAGTGCTTATGATTGGCTGTGCCCTCTAAGGTAATAACAGGGTGCCTGGAGGTGGGTCCTTTACTGGGTGAGGCTCAATGATAAATTGGGGGCTAAGGGTTTTCCTCTTTGATTTGGGCAGCTGTTAGAGGGGGTGTCTTCTGAAGGTGAGGAAATGTGCAGTCTTCCTGGATCCATCAATTTCCTGCTTCCAAGTACAGTATTGGTCCTCATCTCACACACCAAAGAAAGCAAATGGATTTGATTAGCAAATACTTTCATCTACATCCTAATTGAAGTCTCTGAGACTTCCTTGTTTTGGAAAATCCCATTTTAATGCACAGCACATCAGGTAACCAAAAGAATTTCCTCTCCCATCAGCTGCCCCATCCCTCCCAAACCAGGGAGTTTATCCACCATTTTCTCACCAGCCCCCTCAGTCTGTTTCTAGATGGATGCATCTAGGGTGATGGCTGAAAGATTCTCCTGCAGGTATTGATTCATTCCATGAATCGCTCAATCCAATGTATTTACAACAGAGGCAAAGGACAGCCTTAAGTGGTACCCAGCCCAGATGTCCTTGCTCTGCGGACCTATCTACGCCCCACCAGGACCCCTGAGATGCAAAGCCCACTCTCCCTGGTAGAGGTTGCTGCAGTGAAACTAAACTGTAGCTGAGAAGGTGACCATTTGGCCATCTGAAAATTCCGACCAGTTGGCACAGTGTTGTCTCCAAATGAGCCGGCAGGAAACGGAGTTTCCTAAAACTTGGTTTTAAAGCACTTTGAACAGGAAACCATTTCCCATGCATGTTAGATCCCTCTAATGACTGGCTAACTAGAAACAGGCTATCTTAATGCTCTGCCCCGAGCCATTACAAATGGCTTTCTTTCCAGACTTCATTAGAATATTTACTGCTATTTGGATAGAAGACTTTTGACACTGCAGTCATAAAATTTACAAAGAACCATTTTTTTGTTTGTTTTTTGTTTATTTTCCTTTTTTTCAGTCTAATCAGAACTTGGAAGAAGCGAGGAAAGCCCTCAACTACCCTAGCCACCAATTTCACTCATTAGTGGTCTTCGTGTCTCATGGCCTCTAATTGAGAAAATAAACATCCCTGTGGTAATCCAATAAATTGCCTTAAGAAAGAAACAGCTCCATCTCTCTTTCGTCAACTTCTGCCTCTTTCAGAATTACAACAAGAAAGAAAAAAAATCTGCAATGTGTGCGCCTTCTATATGTTAAGTTACTGAATCTTCAAAACCATCTTGCAAATGGAATCATTATCCCCATTTCACCTCTGAGAAAATTGAGGCCGAAAGTCACCAAAGCCACATGAGTGATAGAGCTAAGATTGGCATCCAAGTGACATTGAAACACAGCTCTCTCTGACTGCCTTCACTGCTCGTAATTATCCTCAAAGCAGATCCAGTCTGCACAGGCAGTAGCTACTCTATGAAAAAGGACTTTGGATCCACATTCACATTGTCTTAAATTTTATGCATCTAATACCTTCATAAAAATGATCGATTCAGAGCTCCAACAAAATTGATGTTAAGTCTCTAATCAGAGAAAGGTCACTTTGGGACATTGATGTTGTGCTGTATGCAATAGTGCAATATTCAGTTGATCTTGTAGTTGCTGAGTGTTGACATCAGCCATTAGGAAAATATAGCAGGGTAAATGAATAGTGATATTGATGGGGACATTGGGGGAGCCACTGATTTGCGCATTCAGGGAGGGATTCTGATGAGGGGGCATTCT